ATGAACTGCTGTTGGGTTTGATTGACTGTCGATGGATCGTGGTGTGGCGTATCCGAAGGCTACTGAATGCAACTTACAATGCTTAATAAAAATCTTTATTCTTTTAGTATAAAAAATAAATAAATAAATAAATAAATAAATAAACTACAGTTTGAATCCCGGACCTGGCAGCTTGCTTTCTCACTTTCCCTTTAAATTTTAAAAATAATAATAATAAATTTAAAAAAAAGAGTAGGGGTTGGCAGGTGGTATGGTGGTTAAAGGTGCTGGACTCCCATATGACCAACCACAGTTTGAGTCCCAGATCTGGTGGCTTGCTTTCTCACTTTACTCTCTCTCTCCTGCTCTCCCTCTCACTCTGCCCCTCTTTGGTAAAAAAAAATATAAATAAATAAAGTTAAATAAAATAATTCTTAAATAAAACTTTAAAAGTTCCACCTCTAGAGGCACGAGGAGGCCTAGTACTGACAGATACTGCTACTCAGTAGGCGGAGACCACATGGGAGTCCCAGGTTAGACTCCCAGCCCAACCTCACAGCCAGACATGGTGGCACGTGCCACGCGCCAGGAATCCCAGTTACTTGGGAGGTTAAAGCAGGAGGATTGTAACATAGTGAGACCTTGTCTTTAAAAAGAAGAAGAAGAGGAAGAAGAAAGAGAAGCATAGGGGACATCACATTGCAAAGGGGGTACATACTGAGAAGGGAGAAGTTTGTACCTAATTTTTTTTTTTGTACCTAATTTTTATAGTCTCCTATGCTTCCTCTGATAGAGGTTTTCGGTTTTACTAATGTGGTTTGTTTAGGATTTGAAATTTGTCCCATCCTAGTAGGTAAATTAAAATTATATGGGACTGGGGCCAGCAGGGGGCATGGTGCTTAAGACGCTGGATTCCCACATGGTCGACCATGTTTGAGTCCTGAATCTGGTGGTTAATGCTTTCTCATTCTCTCTCTCTCTCTCTCTCTCTCTCTCTTTCTGGTGAGCACATGTGCTCTATTGCAAACTTTAAAAAATAATTATTAAAAAAAAAAGTATATGGGACCAGCTGGTGATGTGGCGATTGGGGCAGCTGGATCCCATATGGCCAACTGCATATTTTGAGTCCCAGACCTGGCAGTATGAGAAGCATACCAGGCACATGTGTGTGCATACCCAAAATCCCCAAAGGAGAATGGAGAAGGGATTGCAGTGTGGCCATCCACGCTGGGGGTGGGAGGAGGGGCGGCAATTTCTCACTTTTCTCTCTCTCTCTTTGTTTCTCTTCAGCAAGCTCACACACCCTACATCAAATTAAAAAAAAAAAAAAGAAAGAAAGATTATACATGCCAGTTCAGATCCCATTACAGAAGAATATTACAGCATTTCATGTAAATGCACATGTGAATTCAGCCATCCTGAAAGGGAAACTTCCAAAACCTGAACTTGAACTGGAAACTAAGCATCTTCTTCCCTCTCTCTTTTCCTTCCTTTATCCTCTTCTTTCTCCTTCCTTCCTCCTTTCATATTGATTTTACATTGTGCTGTAGCATATATTTCCTGTATATGTGGGGGTCTCCAAAAAGTTTATGGAAATGCTTATGAAAACTGCATAGGGACCAGCAGTTGGCGTCATGGCTATGTTGCTGGACTGACTCCCATATATAATCAACTGAGGTTCAAGTTGACCTGGTGGCTTAAACTCACACTGGGCGTGTGTGCATGCATGCCCAAGATCCCAAGAGGAGAATGGAGGGGAAGGGATTGCAGCGTGGCCATCCCCCTGGGGGGTGATTTCTCACTTTCTGTCTCTCTATCTCTCTCTATCTTTCTGGTGAGCGCACACACCCTATAGCAAAAACCTTGCCAAAAAAAAACTATGAATTTGAAATGTTTTTGTAGCAAAATAACTCATACTTTAATTCCATTTCTCCATGAACTTTTTGAAGTCCCCTCATTAATATATAAGTAGGGTTTTTATTTGTATATTGTTTTGTAGCTATAGTATCCGTATGTTTGAATTGATACGCCAGCCGTTCATAGTGGGTGAGCTACAGATTGTTTTGCTGAGTGTAACGTTGCTGCATTGATCAGAGCAGCATTTAGCTGGGCATCTTTCTCTTCTGGTGGGCTCGGCCTAACACAGAATTTTTTATTTCCATGGCACTGAAAGGCGTTTCACTGAAAGCAGCAGCTGTGTCAGTCAAGAAGGAATCAGAAGACCCTAACTACTACCAACATAACATGCAAGGTAACACTGGTTTACAGCGTTCTCCTCCAAAAGTTATTCATGATGAGAAGTTTTTTGTAACCAGCCACCTGAAAAGCAGCCATAATAGAGATGTACGTTTACCTGTCTCGGATACTGCTATTTAGCGTGAATGACCTTACTATGATGATAAGATAGAGGGCCAGCAGATGGCATGGAGGTTAACATGGCTGGATCCCACATGGCCAACTGTGTGGTTCACATCCGACGTTAGCTTGAACACATGCTAGGCATGGGTGTGTGCTTGCCCGTGGTGTACTCAGGGACATGAACTTAGGACCCTTTCCATGTGGACCTAGCCACATTACTGCTGTGCCACTGCCTGGCCCCTAAGTAATATACTTTTTTTTTTTTTAATTTTGTATTTCTACCTTCATTATATATTGTTTATTTTCCTTGTAGGAAGCCATCATTCTTCCGCAAGCAGTGAAGTACTAGAAATGGAATTACCAATGGAAGGTTAGAAACATGAAGTATTTTCCTCTCTCTTTTAACGTTACAGTATTTTATAGAGTAAATACCTTTTTTTCAGTCTTCATGTTTGAAAATAAAGATACCTGGGCAGCAGGTGGCATGGTGGTTAAGGCTTAGGATCCCACATGGCCAACTGCACAGTTCAAGTCCTGGACCTAGTGGCTTGAAAAACATTCTGGGTGCATGTGCGTGTGTGCACAAAATCCCGAGAGGAGAATTGAGGAGAAGAGATTGCCTCATAGCAATCACTCGGGCCGGGGGGGATTTCTCACTTTCCCTCTCTCTCTCTGGCAAATGCAAATGCCCTATGAGAAAAATTTTTTTTTAAATTTAAATAAGAAGGAAGATAGAAAAGAATGAAAAAGAGAAAGAGACAAAGGGGAAAAAAGAAAAGTGAGTTCCTGGCACACTCGGCTTCTTAGAAAGCTGGCCGAGGGGCCAGCCCTGTAACGCAGTGGTTAAGTGATATGCATAGGGAGCCAGATCCAACATGGCCAGCCATAGTTTGAATCCTGGCCCCTGTGGCTTGAAAATATACCAGGCCGTGTGTGTGCTTGTCCAGAATCCTAAAGGTGTGGAAGCATGGAGGAAGAAGGATTATGAGGTGACCATGCTCCACTAAGGGGTTCTCTATATCTTTCTTTGGCAAGTACGCATGCCTTCTAGGAATTAAAAAAAAGAAAACTGATTGAGTCCCCATCCAAAGATACAGAACTGGGGTCAGCAGGTGGCATGGTGGCTAAAGTGCTGGACTCCACCATGGCTGACTGCGATTTGAGTCCCAGACTTCTCTCTCTCTTTCTCTCTCCCTCTCTCTGTGTTTCTGGTGGGCAAATTTAAAATACTACTACGACTAACAATAATAATAAATAAAATTAAATAAATGATCATTTTTTAAAAAGATACAGTATTAAGGATTCTATCACTTCTACTTTTCTGATGTGGAAGGGATTCTACTTAAAGTACCTGGCCATAGCAGTTAACTTCACAGTGATGCCATTCGTTGCTTTATTTCATTTGTCTTTTGATGTGGCATACCAAAATTTCTTTGAATAGAGTTGAGTACTGTTTTAGGAAATTCTTGAATTTGAAGTGAAATGTGATACTGCTTCTCTTCAGTCCTGTATAAATATTGAGAATATAAATATTGAAAATAAAGCCTAGATTTTTTTCTTTTTATTTTAAATAGTTATTTTATTTAACTTAAAAAATTATTTATTTATTCCTTTAAATTTATTTAATTTATTCATTTTAACTTAGATAAATAAATTATTCAAATGAGAGGGACAGAGCAAGAGAGAGAGAGAGAGAGAAAGAGCGAGACATCAAGAAAGCAAGCAGTCAGGTCCAGGACTCAAACCGTGGTCAGCCATGTGGGAGTCCAGCGCCCTTAACTACCACACCTAAAGCCTGGACTTTTAAAGTGGTTTATTTATGTCCAAGATAAAGTTAATTGAGGAGACTTCTTCTCCACACCTAGAGACACAAACATCTTTGTCCATTTTCAGGTGGCATAGTTTAGGACTTGTGTATCTGACTAAGATACTATTACAAATGTAGTACAAATTTTTTTTTTTTTTTGGTCAAAGTCAAGAATGCTCTTCAAGGAGCTCATCTGTAGTCATTTTTAGTAGCTTCTCTGCTATGTGGGAGCCTGTAGTTCTTTATTATGGAGGTTGGCTCCAACAACTCACTAAGCAATTTGTTTAGTTCTCTGACCAAAACAATTTCTTTTTTTTTACCATGAAATCAAATTTCCCCGAAAGGGGAATTTTATTGATTACTTTATTCCCTTACAAACAGACCAACTGTAACCAAATGAGGTGAACATTCACCTCAGGATTTTGCCATCTTCATAATAGAAAAGATGAGGCTTAAAACTGGATCATTTGATCCTTTCTCTTATCTCCTCCCAGTTCAAAATGCTTCCATCTCTTAATCGCCAGCATTCTCTTAGATCTGCAGATGGGCTCAACACATTCAAGCCTCAGCACAATCTTCTTTGTAGTTGTTGCCTTTTTCTGAAAAATAGGCTTAGTCTGTCCACCACAGCCACTCTCTCCTGTCATAACGCCACTGTCCCCGAGCAGAGAATCCTTGCCCTTTTTGTACCGTGTCACTTTATGAGGTTGGTGCTTGCCACACTTCTTACAGAAGGTCCCGCGGGTTTTAGGGACGTTCACCATGCTTGCAGGCCTGCTCTCTGCACGAAAAAAGCTGACCAAAACAAATTTTGATAGATTTTGCCCAGAGGAAGAGACTACAGTCAGATAGAATCCAGTCTTAGAATTTTTAAAAAGTTACTTATTTGGGGGCCAGCAGGTGGTGTGGTGGTTAAGGGCACTGGCCTCCCACACGCCCAACATGGTTCAAGTCCTGAACCTGGTGGCTTATTTTCTCACTTTCCCTCTCTTTCTCTCTCCCCCTGCCCTTCTCTGGTCAAATTAAAATTAATTAATTAATTTAATTAAATCTCAAACAAATTTAAAAATTACTTTATTTATTGTATTATTTTTAATTTGCTAGAGGGCATGTGTGCTCACTAGAGAGAGAGAGAAAAAAAGTGATAAAGCAAGACTTCAGGTCAGAGACTTGAACTACAGTCGGTCTTGTGGGAATCCAGCATCTTAACCACCCCACCACCTGCTGGCCTGGTCTTAGAAATGTTTAAATTCTTTCTTTCTTTATTCGTGGTAGAGTGTGTGCACACACGAAGAGGGGAGATGAGCACTCTCCACAGGGTCTGGTCATGCCACAGTCCCCTTCCTCCAGTCCTCTAACCCATCAGATTTGGGGCACTTGAACACATGCCTGACATGTTTCAGGCTGACTGGGCTGGAGATTCGAACCATGGTCTCCATGTGGGATCTACTTCTCTGGGGTAGTATATTACCATTGCACTACCGAGCCAGCCCCTTAGAATGATTCAGTCACATGTGGAATTAGTCATTTTGAACTTACTTGCTTTAAATCAGAAAGACAAATGACTCTGTTTTTATTTAAGTTTCATAAGGTAACATTTATTATCTTAGCCAGCTCGAAATGTACAACTTGGTAGTGTTCAGTATGTTCATTTTGTTCTGAAACCAACTTGTAGAGCTTTTTGATCTTGTAAATCTGAAGCTCTATACCCATTAAACTACTCGCATCCGCCAGCCCCTGGGCCCCTGCAGCCACCATCCTGCTTTCAGTACAGCGTGGGCCCCTCATGTCAGTGGAGCCGTTCAGTATTTGCCTTTAGTGACAGGCTTATCACGTATGATGTCCAGGTCTGTGTTGTCTGTGGAACAGGGTCCTTCGTTTATTTTGTAATTTTTGGTTTTCTCTTCAAGTCCATCTCTGAACTTCAGGTGTAAACAAGGACAACTCTTTCTTCCTTTCTTCCTTTCTTCCTTCCTCCCTCCCTCCCTCCTTCCCTTTCTCCCTCCCTCCTTCTCTCTCTCCTTCCCTTCTTTCCTTTCACTTGCTACAGGGCATGAGTGCTTACTGGGGAGAAGCAGAGAGAGAAGGAAAGTGAGAAAATGCCCCCCCAGGAGTGATGATCACACTGCAGTCCCTTCTCCATTCTCCTCTTGGGATTGTGGGGACACAAGCACATGTACCCAGAATGATGTTTTAATTTTTTTTATTATTTAATTTAATTTTATTTATTCATTCATTTACTTTAATTTGACAAGAGAAAGCAAGCCACAGAGAGAGAGAGAGAGACAGAGAGGGAAAGTGAGAAAGTAAGCCACCAGGCCTGGGACTTGAACCATGGTCGGGCATGTGGGAGTGTCTAGCACTTTAACTACCAAGCCACCTGCTGGTCTCCCCCTGAATGATTTTTTTTAGGGCATGTGTGCTTGCCAGAAAGATAGACAGAAAGCGAGAAATCACCTCCCAGGGAAATGGCCACAGTGCAATCCCTTTTCCTCCATTCTCCTCTTGGGATCTTGGGCATGCACGCACATGCGCCCCGAGTGAGTTTAAGCCACCCGGTCTAGGACTTGAACCATGGTCGCCTACATGGGAGTCCAGTAACATAGCCATTATGCCAACTGCTGGTCCCCCCAGAATGACTTTTAAGCCACTAAATCTGGGACTCAAACCATGCATTCGGCCATGTGGAATTCAGAACCTTACTCCATGCCACCTGGCTGGTTCGGGACAATTATTTCTATTGTAATTCAGCTTAAATCTGTTTCTCTTTTACATAATTTTTAAATAATTATTTTATTTAACTTTATTTATTTACTTAGTCCATAGAGGGACAGAGCGAGAGAGAGAAAGAGAGAGGGAAAGTGAGAAAGCAAGCCACCAGGTCTGGGACTCAAACCCCAGCTGGCCATGTGGGAGTCCAGCGCCCTTAACCATCACGCCAGCTGCCGGCCCCTCCTTTACATAATTTTATTTCCTTTAGTTGAAACCTGTTAAGGTATTGTTTGGTCAGTTTTCTAAATGGATAGGTGGCATTTAGACAGAAGACCTGGCTCACCTGCTATGGCAAGTGCTCCTAGGACACTGTGCTCTGCAGGCTGGGGCCACATGGGATCCTGGGTTTGATTCCTGGCCCGACCTAAAGGCTGGCTATGGTGGTGCATACCTGCAATCCGGTAACTCAGGAAGGCTGAGACAGGAGATTGTGAACTCAAGGCTGGCCTGGGCTACATGAGATGCTGTGTAAAAAGAGGCAGGTATGGTAGCACACACCTGTAGTTCCAGGTAGGCTGAGGCAGGAGGATCATGACGGCAAGACCTTGTCTGAAAATAATGAGGGAAAGGGCCAGCAGGTGGTGCAGTAGTAGCAGGTGGGCTACTACATGGCCGACCGTGGTGCAGGTCCCAGACCCAGTAGCTTCAGAATCACACTGGGCATGTGAGCATGCATGCCCAAAATTCCACCAGGAGGAGGGATGGCGGCATGGCCACTCTCCCTGGGGGGTGATTTCCTGCTTCCCCTCTCTCTGTCTATCTCTGATGAGCACACACACCCTATGGCAAAAACTCTTAAGAAAAATAAAAAGAAATGAAATGAAAGAAAGAAGACTGCGTAGGTAGTTGTAGAACTGGCATTCAGCCGAATGTCTGAATTACTTCATTGGATGTTGCTTTTTAAACACTTTATTTTCGGGGGCCAGCAGGTGGTGTGGTAGTTAAGGTGCTCGACTCCCACATGGCCAACTGTGGTTTGAGCCCCAGTCCCAGGGGCCTGAAAAACCATCCTGGGTGTGTGTATATGCATGCCAAAAATCCTAAGAGGAAAATAGAAGAGCAGTGATTGCAGCATGGCCATATCCCTGGGAGGGGGTGTGATTCCTCACTTTCCCTCTCTCTGCCTTTCTCCAGCGAGCGCATGTCCTATAGCAAAAAACTAAATTAAAACAAACAGAAATACTTTATTTCTGAACATTTTTTTCCTTTATGGGGGTGGAGGCAGGGGAGAGAGAGAGAGAGAGAGTTTGATTTTTATTTGCCAGAGGACATGGGTGCTTACCAGAGAAGACAGGGAGACAAGGAAGAGAGAGGGAGAGAGCATACCCCAATAGAATGTGGTTATGTCATAGTCCCTTCTCCCTTTGGCCATCCCGTCGGGATTTGGGGCACACACGCACATGTGACTGTGCATCTCTTGAGCTTCCAGGACTAGGCTTTGTAACCGTGGCTGGCCTTGTAGTATCCAGCTCACTTAGCCAGTAGGCTACCTAAGTAGGTATTTTGGGCAAGTTCTCACTGTAGTGATCCTCCTGGTCCAGCCTCCCAATCAGCCATGACCACGGGCATGTGCAATTGCACTCAGCATCTTCACGTTGGCCCAGGAACCAAACCCGGGCCTCCCATATTGTTTTCAGCTTCCCAAGTAGCAGCTGTACCTGTATACCAGGCCGCTACAGCTCGGCCATTTCTGGAGGTATTTTTATTATCAGAGTGCAGGGTGGAGTCCATGTACAGTAGAGCTAAGTTAGATTTTTTTTTTTTTCTAAATTAGATTTTTTAAAAATCTTTTTATCTTGAGGGGACTGGTAGATGGCATAATGGTTACGCTGCTGGACTCCCATGTAGTCGACTGTGGTTCGAGTCTCAAACCCAGTGGTTTAAACTCATGCCGGGCGTGTGTGCATGTATGTGTATCCAAAATTCCTAGAGGAGAAGGGATTGTAGTGTGGCCATCCCCCCAGGGGGGCGATTTTGTGCTTCCTGTCTCTCCAGCAAGCATATGCACCCTATAGCAAAAATCTCTCTGAAAAAAAAAAAACTTTTTGTTTTGAAACAGGTACAAATTCACAAAGAACAGATTACAAATAGTACAAAAAGCTTCCATGTGTCTTCACTCATTTTTCTCCAGAGTTCATACTTTACATGGTAGTGGTATGATCTCAAAACAGCTAAGCGAGTTTTGAACGCTAGTCTTTCTCCCTTCACTAAGAATTCATATAAACTTTGGCAAATCTTTCTAAAATGAGTCAGAATTAAGTGAGATTACCTCCAGTCAGGAATTTTTTTTTTTTTTGTCTTTCTTCTTATTAGGATTGATTTTTACCTTTTGTGTGTGTGAAGAACCTAAGGCAGTTGTCTTATTGTTGTGTACCAGCAAAACTGACTTCCTGAAAGAGTAGGCTAGGAATCACCCTAGTTAGTGACAGGAGAAGAGGGGAACTGCGTGCTAGCCCTGGCAGCTTGAAAAATACCCTGGGCGCGTATGTTTGTGCATGCATGCCCCAAGATCTCTGATGGGATGGAGAAGTGGAAGAGAAGGGGTTGCGGCATGACCGTCTCCCACTAGGGAGGGGGTGCTTTCTCCCTCTTCCTTTCTCTCTATCTCTGGTGACTCCATGCACCCTCTGGCAAATTAAAAGATTGAAAAAAAAAAAAAAAAAGAGGGAACTATTAATCAATACAAACGGCTTTTTTTAATCCTAGTAATTCCTGATGACAACGAGAAAACACTATGACCACATGAATTCCCTAACCCCAAATAGAAGGATTGTGTGTCCATTAACGTAGGTAACTCTGTATTATTTGATGATATCTGAATGTTTCTATGTCCCCTAATCCTTTATAAGAGGATCCGATCATACATTATCTTTTATTATCCGTTTACCATCCCTCATAAAATTACGATGGCCTCTATGTTTATGATGTCTAAAATTATTTGAAGTGCCAGGGTAAGCTGCGTTTTTGGTTTAGGCGCAGTGAAATGTTGCAGCACGAGGATGCTTCGTAATGAATGTCATTTAGAATTTTTTTTCCCCCCCAAGATTCTACTCAGCTGGTCTCTTCAGAACCAAATGAAGACTCTGAAGCCGAGGTGAAAGCTGAAGGTTAGTTGCCAGCTGCCTTGTCACAGTCGCATTGCTAAGTATGGGTTTCATTGTTCTAAAGGGATTACTGTGGGGACGAGTTCAAGTTAGATTTGTGAGTGTGTACAACCAGAGCAGCCCCCCCCCCCCCTAGTTCCCACCAGGACCCTGGGCTCGGGCGCAATAGACTATAATGAAGCCCTGCAGATTAGCACTGGCCCACATGGGACCAAGCTGTGCTCTGTGCAAGTGAGGAGGAATAGAAAACAGGGGCAGGTGAGGGAAATGGAAAGGAGAGGGCTGCATTCACTCGGACATGGCCCTCTCCTGCTAGTGGGAAGATATGCTGAGTTCTGAAGTAACAACTGGGGGCCGGCAGTTTGGTGGTTAAGGGCGCTGTACTCCCACATGGCCGACCACGGTTCGAGTCCTCGACTTGGTGGGTTGCTTTCTCACTTTCTCTCTCTCTCTCTCTCATTCTGTCCCTCTCTGGTCAAATAGGAAGAAAGAAAGAAAGAAAGAGAGAGAGAGAGAGAGAAAGAGAAAGAAAGCAACCTAAATAGAATGATTCTTTAAAAATAAAAAAAAGTAACAACTGATAGGGTGCCTGTGTGTGTGGGCCCAGAATCCTGAAGGGAGAAAGAAACGATTACTGTGTGGCCAGTCTCCGCTGGTTGGGGTGGGGGGGATTTCTTACTTTGTGTGTGTGTGTATGTATAAAAATATAATATATACATACTGACACATATATATTGGCGTTGGAAATGTCATGATGTATTTTTCTCTGTTTTTCTATGCAAAAATGCACCATGGCTTTCCTGACAACCCAGTATATCTCCAGTGAGTGCACATGCCCTCTAGCAAATTAAAAAAAAAAAAAGAGTATTAAAACAAAAAACAAACAAAAAAGTTAAACAAAGAACAAGGGTTTCTTTATTTCATGGTTGCAGAGGTCCAAGGTCAAGCCTTTGCATCTGGTGCAGACCTTGGTCCTGCAGAGTCCGAGGTGGCGCGGGGCATCACACCGCAGGAGCAGAGCGTGAGCACGAGTGTGTGTCTGTGTGCCTCTGCGCCGGTCTCTCTCCCTCTCCTTATATACCCACTGGGATGCAGGCAGAGAATCCCACCCTGATCACTTTATCCGTCCTGATCACCTCTCAGAGGCCCCTCCTCTTAACCTCATAGTTGGGTTAATTTGCTGCCCTCTTAATACCTTCACAGTGGCTTGTCAAATTTTTTTAAAAGAATTATTTTATTTAATTTTATTCATTGCCAACTTAAAAAAATGTTTTAAAGTTGACCAGAGAGAGAAAGAGAAAGAAAGCAAGCTGCCAGATCCGGGACTCGAATCATGGTCAGCTGCCTTAACCATTGCACCACCTGCCAGCCCCTGGCTTGTTGAATTTTAATGCAGGAATTTGGACGGGGACATATTCAAACCAGTGACACTGTTGGTGTGTTTTGTGACAGGTGTTTGTATTTTGAAGAATCAGCTTTAATGATGAAACACAAGCATTTTGGTAATGTTGTAACTAACATGGGACCAGCAGGTGGTGTGGTGGTTAAGGTGCTGGAACCTCACATGGCTGACCACGGTTTGAATCCCAGATCCAATTGCTTAAAAATCATGCTGGGCATGTGTACATGCATGCTCCAAAATTCCCAAGATGAGAATAGAGAAGGGATTACAGTGTGGTCTTCGCCCCTGTGGGCGATTTCTCATTTTCTCTCTCTCTCTCCGTCTCTCTCCATTAAGTGCCCTATAGCAAAAACCTAAATAAGTAGATAACAAACACCAGAACACCGTGCCTCATTGTCTGGCACTGTCTGTTCATGGTTTCAGGGCCCTGATGGGGTCAGGGTTTTTTCTGAGGATTAACGATGTTAGGTGCCCTAAAATACGTTTTCTCATTATAAGTACTGATGGGACCTCCCTGTAGTTTCTGTAGTCTCTTGATGTGGAACCTCATTCTTAGAATTGACTTTCCAAGATTTATTAGTCAGTCAGAAAAATGAGTAATTTAAAGGCCAAGAGCAGCAAATTTTCCCACATTCCCTCCGGAAAAGGCTAGAAGCATCCCAGGCCCCAGGACAGCTTGAGGGCTTTCGTGCAGGTGCTGACACATGCCCTGAGGTCTCCTCTTCAGGGACAGGCTCTCAAATGCCCAATGGGACAGTCAGAACAAAGAGATGAGCCTTGACTTCAGAAAGGACTGAGCAAATCATGTACATTTTTCAGATAAAATTTAAGTAAATAATGTGTTTATTTGTTGACCAGAGACATAACTTCAGCCTAGTTAACCCTATCTGAGCCTTTCCACAGCTATGTCTTCTGAATTGTTTCCACGATGTCTGCTTCTTTCTTTTGTTTTAATTAAAAAAATATTTTTATTATTGGGACCAGCAGATGGCATAGCAGTTATGTCACTGAACTCCCATATAATCAACCAAGACTTGAGTCCCAGGCCCAGTGACTTAAAATTCACACTGGGCGCTTGTGCATGCATGCCCAGAGTCCCAAGAAGAGAATGGAGGAGAAGGGATTGCTGTGTGGGCCATCCTCACTGAGGGGGGTGGGGGTGTGATTTCTGACTTTCTATCTCTCTGTTTCTCCGGCAAGCACACACTCCCTACAGCCAAAGTCTCTGAAAAACAATTTTTTATTATTATTTAATTTATTATTTTTGGGACCAGCAGTTAGCATAATGGCTATGTCACTGGACTCCCATGTAGTCAACTCCAGTTCGTGTCCCGGACCGGTGGCATGCGTGCCCAAGATCCCCAGAGGAGAATGGAGGAGAAGGGATTGAGGTGTGGCCATCCCCCCGAGGGGTGATTTCTTGCTTTCTGTCTCTCTTTCTTTGTCTATCTAGCGAGCGCACGTGCCCTATAGCAAAAACCTCTCCAAAAAAAATTATTTAAAAAAATTTTTAAATAATTATTTTATTTAACACCAGAGAGAGAAACAAAGTGAGAGAGAGAGAGAAAGAGAGAGAAAGTGGGAAAGCAAGCCACCAGGTCTGGGACTCAAACCTGAGTTGGCCATGTGGGAGTCCAGCACCCTTAATTACCATGCCACCTGCTGGCTCCTATTATTATTATTTTTTCAATATACTATAGGGCACATGCACTCAGCAGAAAGAGACAGATATAGAGAGAAAAAGAGGGAAAGGGAGAAAGCAAACCTCTAGGTCCAATACTTGAACCATGGGCAGCCATGTGAGAGTCCAGTGCCTTAATCACCATGCCACTTGCTGGCCTAGGATGTTTGCTTGTTAAAGTGTTCCCTAGTGCATATTTATGTGTCATATTGTTTTTAAAGAATTATTTCATCTAATTTCATTCATTTATTTTTGACGAGAGAGAGCGACAGAGAGAGAGAAGGAAAGTAAGAAAGCAAGCTGCCAGGTTCGGAATTTGAACATCAGTCAACCATGGGGAAGTCCAGCTGCCTTAACCACCACGCCACCTGCCAGCCCCTATGTCGTATTTTCTTATTTTTTTCAGTTTAAATCTAGAATAGCAGCAAAAAGTATTTACTTATTTATTATAGAGTTATTTATTTAATTTTATTTATTCATTTATTTATTTTTGTTTGATCAGAGAGAGAGAGAGAGAGGGAAAGTGAGAAAGCAGGCCACTGGGTCTGGGACTCAAACTGTGGTCGGCCATGTGGGAGTGTCCAGCACTTTAACCACCACGCCACCTGCTGGTCCCAGAATATATACATATATATATATTTTTTTTTTTTTTGAGAGGTTTTCGCTATA